TTATTTTGCCATTGAATAAGAGTGTGCTGGAAAGAAACAAATTGCAATGAACCTTTACTACCTAACTGATATATTTGTAAATACTACAGAAGATATCTAGGCATCTTGAAAATGTAGGATGCAATCTGTATAGTGTGACTGACATATAGTTAGGTTGGTTTCCATTGGTTTTTAAGTGGGATGTCATTTAAAAGTTGTTTCATCAGAGCTTTAAAAATAAAAGGGTATCATTTTGGGATTTTTTTTCCTGTACAGTGTGCCTTCTCCTTTGTCTCCAACACAATTTTTAAGCTACATTAAAAGCTATGGAAATGTACCTGATACAGGCAGCATGTCTGATGGCTGCAAGGAAGGTCTCCAGCTGAATTGCTTGCTCTGTCTAAGTCTGCATTGTGTGTGGCTTTTCTGCAGCTTCCCTCAATATATCAGAGGGTCTCTGATAATATGAAAAACTAGGGCCTTCACCTATAAGCTCAGTATGGGCAAGCTTGAGGTTTTTCTGATGAAAGTCTGGGGAACTGAGCCCATGCCCTGTGAGGACTACTGTGGTTTTTCTTGGCCTTCCCACCGTAGCTAAAGGGTCTATCCCAGTGGTGAGTGAGCAAATATCAGAATATTTGCCTGCAGAACCCCCTGCAGACACAGCTGCTGGGTGGCAGAGCTTTGTGTGCCTGCTGGCATCCTCCAGTGACCAAAGGTGAAGGGCAGCAAAAACTGATGGGACTGCTGCTGAAAACAGAAGACAGTGAATTTTAGATACTAAGGGAAGTGGAGAAATTTTTGCTGGCTCTGAGGACTGGTCTTCTTTCTTCATTGCTCAGCTGACTGGAGCAAGATTTACTGCCATGTATGACATTTCCAGCTATGTCATCAGTACTGTTGGACTGGGAAGCCAAGATGCCCAACCTCCATACTCAGTCACCTGCGGAGTGGCTGCAATGCATTTTTTTGCCTCTCTGTGCCAGATCTGTTGTTTAGGTAAATTGGGGTAGCTCCTTGACCTCCAGTGAAGCTATGCTGACTTGTACCAGCCAAGAATCTGCCCCTTGGTTTTCCAAACCTCACAGTTGAGGCTACCTCCTTACCCTGGAGGTATTGTGAGGACCATGGAATGAAAGCTGCTGCACAGCTGCAGAAGGAAAATAGCAAAAAGGAGTCAGGCCAAGCCTCACCTGGGGTTTAGGTTGCTGTGGCCAGCCAGGAGTGGGGATGACTCACCCTTCCTGGATTGACCTTTGTGCCACACTCGGTACAGGGCTACCTCATGTCCTTGCTGCCTATGAGTTGATGTGACCAGGTAGCCCAGCCCTGCTGGCCCTGGGGCCTTGGATCTTGTGATTTACAAAATAAATACCTATCTAAATGCAAGGTGAGCCGTGCACAGAAACACTGGGTTTAAAAAGCAACAGGAGAAGAGGGTGAATATCTTTCCTTTTCAAGCATTTATTGACTAAAATGGTCTTACTTGTGATTGTGATTTTCCAGTAAGCTGTTACTAAGTGGTGTTGCAGAGTGTTCAGCCTTAGCTAGGGTCGACATCCTTTTTTATTTCCCTTTTTCTTGCTGGGGTGAAATTTGGTGTGCCAGTTCTGAAGAGCCTAGCACTTAATTTGTGCTTGCTGCGTATGTCAGAGCTGAGTTTCTTGGAGTTACCATAAAACAGGAGGTTTAGACCAGCATGTTCCAGTTTGTGCTGCTGACGCAGCAGAAAAAATCAGCTGGTTGCTGATGCTCTTGCTGGCAGCCTGTGGAAGGCCACTTTGCTTTGAAACTCTGTGGCACAATTTAAGAGCGCTCCTAGGAGGCCCTGCTCCCTTCTCAGCACCATCTTGACCCAGGATCTGTTTTAGGGTGGTTCCTGCAGATATTAAGTCTTGCAGTGGACATATAAAACTTCCTCTCGAATCTGAGCATGAAAATGCTCTTTTAGGGAAAAAAACCCACAGAAAACCTCCAATATTTTTATCAACAAAAAAATCAAGAATGGAATACTTATTCTTCTTGGACCAAAAGCGGTGCTGTCAGGTTTTCAATCCTCTGTATGAGTCAAGGGGGATGCAGTACCACGTTGCCCTATTGTATAGGTGCTGAGGAGCTCAAAGCCAGGTGCCTTGTTATGATTTTATGTAGAAAAAGATTGTAAGAAGAGTACATCCCTTCTTACCAAAACTACTCTCCAGGTGTACTGATTGCTGGAGCTGCTACTTGTAGATGAAATAAAGGTTTCTTTGGGTTTGTTGGTTTTTGGTTTGGTTTGCTTTTGGGTTTTTTTTTGTTGTTTTTGGTTTTGTGGTGGGTTTTTTTGTGTTTTTTTTTTTTTTTGTTTTGTTTTTTTGTTTTGGTG